TTTAGTCGCACCTTTGCAGGAATGCTGATGAAATTTTGAGTTTCGCACCTTTCTAAAAGGCACGATAAATTTAACAACCCTAAAAAAGTGTGTCTGGCAGTTTGCACGCCTGTGTATAAAAGCACTAGACACTTTTAACTGTGCTCATTTCTTGAATGCGTGACGTCTACGTCGCGCAATTTCGGTGTTTATTAGATTGTTCCATATTCCTTGCGTATCGAATGAAGCGGTTCGAGATGCGCGGCTTGTCGCACAACTTGCGCAACGCCAAACGTCAGCAGGCCCTCGGTGCTCGGCTCGCGCGCGCATTCAGCAAGTGCGTCCGTTTTCTCGAGCGAAGCTAACGAAGGCCCCGTTGTGGCGGGAGCCGGCGCCGTTTTCAAAATGTCAGCGAGCCCCTATTCGGCTTGTATGCAGAGTGTATCGTGGCCGCGCCGCCGGGCCGCGCGCATGCCAAGTACAATAACTAGAGTGGACCGCGCGGGCGCGCTGCTGCCGGCGCCAGCCCGGAGAGAGAACTTACCGAGTCGACGTTACGAAATACGGAACCCGTCTGCATAAAACGGTATCGACGGCAGCAAGAAAAGAAAAGAAAAAAATACGTACCGTGAAATTATTTTGGTTCGAAGCTCCGTGTTATCGTGTTGTACGGCGATATCGCGCTGCTTGATCATGTCGTTATGTCGCCCAACCATCCGCGGTGGTCTGTAAAAAGAACTGAAATAAAAATAAGAATGTCAGGGCTAAAATTGTTTTTTTACAACCATCTCATCGCGGATTTCTCGTCATTTTCACAGAAATGAATTTAATTGATGACGAAGAAATCTGTGATTAGATTGGTTTTAAAATTAATTGCCTATAGATAATATTCTCATTTTTATTAAAATATTTACAGTGTGGTTGAATAAGCGCCATTAATAACACCATTTTCTTTGGTCGGCAGGTCACCAGCCGCTTCAGGACCTGGAGATCCGAGTCGGCAACAGCAGTCATGACCTCCAGAGGAACCCGCTCTGCGCCTGGTTCCCAGGAACCATGGGTAAGCTCCGTTTTTGTGAACAAAAAAATTAAAAAAAAAACATATGCGAGATACATTTATGGCTTGACCTTAATGTATTTCTCTGAGTGCGTTGCGCAATGCTACTTGAAAGTCAATAACGAAAGGCGAAAAAGAGAAGAAAAAAACTTGAGTGATCGTAAAAAAGTCGAGACGCTAAAGAGACCCGCCCAGTACGGCAAATCAACGCAGCTCAGCAGTGCATTGCTGATCGAGCCGCTAGTCCTATGCCGGATTCGCCCGTTTTGCAAGGCTCTTTTTGTTTCTCATTACTCCGGTTTGCCCGGTCCGGTCTGATACCATCGGCCGTGGCGTCAGGAGCTTGGCGTGTCCTTCCCGCCGTGTATGGTCATAGTGAAGGAAATGGTAATAAAAGGATGAAAAACATGGGAATCATTTTTACGCGGAGCTGCCTCTCTCCTGCGTGATATCATCAGGGGAATGACGTCATAAAAAAGCGCTGCCTAGCCGGCGGGCTGTCCGTTCCGTATGGATATGAGCGTATAAAGAAATAAAAGATATCAACAATAATTTCGTCCTGTTGTCTAAAATGCATGTGGGTGTTTTTTTCTTTGTTTGATCGCAGAGGAGGGAGTGACCAAGATGTTCAGCTGCGCCCGTGCCCTGGTCGGCCAGTACGTGTTCCTCCAGCTGGTGGGCGTGGAGGGCTCGCTCTCGCTGTGCGAAGTGCAGGTGTTTACATCGGACGGTGAGTAATCTCAATAGAATACTGCTGAAAGATGGTCAGGTAGACGGTAGACGTACTAGGCAAAATAAGACCGCACGGGTCCGCAGTCCCGTTGCGCACGTGTGCTTGGTGGGGTTGCCTACCAGCCGGGCTGGTCAGCGCCTGGCGGGCCGCAGTCCCGTTGCGCACGGGTGCACGGCGGGGTTGCCTACCAGCCGACCACGGCCCGCGGGGGCACGCGTTGGCGAGACTGGGTGGCCTTGCTGTGTGAACCTGTCAGGGGGGCGGGAAGAGAGAGAGAGAGAG